CTGAATAAAAATTGAAACATAGGAAAAGACGAACTGTCTTTGCATTTCAAAAATATAGTGCTCCCATACAGTATTATCTTAAACTCGTCGGTTGCAGATCGATTCATACCAATGTTGCTATCAACTTGGTAGTTTCGTATAAGAATGACCATGCCCTCTTCAATGGACTTCCCTTTGAACGCTGGCAAGTAGACTGCTCATAGTCACGCTGTAATGCGATTTTCCTTGAGAAATAAATTGAAACAGGAAATTGAAAAGTAATTAATATAGTATGCAAATAACAAATATGAATACATGCATATATTTTTATATTGAAATATAAAATCGAAACCATATGCTTACAGTTTTATCATGCAAAATAAGCTCGAGATGCGACTTGTATGTGCTGCCCTTATCTTGAAAAACATCCTCACAATGCGAACTTTAAGCATAGGTCTCTTGCTCCTATTAATATCTTTGATTAACCCAAATGTTTGATCCATTGCAGAGAAGTAATTTTATTTTCTTGTAAGATACGCGTTTGTTATCTGGTGAATGCAGACCGAGGTAAGATATATATATATTATTGTTAAAGAGAGTATTCTTGTTAAAGAGAATATTTAAAATCGGCAAAAAATCTTTTACAATTTTGTTGAATGTGGACTTTTTAAAATAAATCGGTAAAATTTTTGAAAATAAGTTAGAAGACTACTTCGTGTGTCAAATATGTTTAATTTTTGAATTCCAACGAAATTGGGATTCTTTCCAACCAATAGATCGCATGTTTGCATTAAAACTCTGGTTAAGTAGAGATTATGTTGGAAAAATAAAACTGTGTTAATAACTTATTTAACATTTTAATTAGAAAAATATTATATATGTTGTCGTGTAGTTGAGGAGTACATCTAGTCGGCATTTATAAACTCTTCTACCAAAAAAAGTCCTACCAAATGGAAACAATATAATTTTTAATTTTAGTAGATATTGTATAAAAAAAATAAAACCGTGTTAATGAATTAGAGATAATCAGCACGTGCTTTTTTATTCTATCTATTTGATGCGGATATTCTCTAAAGATTTTCAGAGATAATAATTACCTTACCTTTGACTATTTTTAATTAATACAACACGTGCAGTTGTTTTAGGAAATGAATAACAAACTTGATTAAGCACACGTTTTATTTTTATAAAGTTAATAAAAATACTAACTATTAACATATGAAATATATTATTATATAATTTCTTCGATTCTACATCTAAATTACAAAAGAGATGTTATACTTTATATCGACATAGCATAATAAAAATTTGAATAGCAAATCTACATAATCAAGCCCCAATTTCTTTCTCTCGCCCTTCAAACCCTCGCCGCATCTCCTCCGAATTTGGTCCTTCGTGCGCCTTCCCCGGCGAATAGCCGGCCCTTCTGCCGGCGGTAGACCTTCAGCTCCATCACCCATCCTCAATTTCTCGCTCGTCAGCTCTTCTGCGCCGATGGATTCTCCTAAGCTGTCGGCAGTCCCTGCTGCTTCCTTTCCGCCGGTCGTGGTCCCGAGTTCTGGTTCTCCGTGTAGTGGCTATGGTGGCTGGCCGTCGGTTGGCTTCTTCACTGCCCGGTCTCTGGTGGGAGCTCGTCCGTCGCGCAACAGGTTAGTGGTGGAGTGGCTCAAGGAGGTGAGCTTTTGGGGTTGGGGTGGGTTGGTTGGTTCGTCCCTCGGTGTCCCCTTTGCTGGTCTGGTGGAGGTGGTTGTTCGACAGGCCCGGATTCTGGCCATTGGTGTTTGGCCGGGTCGAGGGGAGCGGGTCTGTGTGGTGGGGCTGATCGATCCTCGTTTGGGCTGTAGGTAGGCTTCATCCGTGGAATGGTTCGAGGCTTGGACTCTTCCTTTGCTAGGCTTTAGGCAGTGGCGGGAGTGGTGTTCCGGCTTTCGTGTCAAGCTATCGGGTGATGGTTTTCGCTGGTGCTTTGTGCTGGGTTCGGTTATCTAGCTGGGGAAGGGCTTTGTGTGTTTAGGTTTATTGTTTTCGTGTTTTGTTGTTTAGGTTTGTGTTTTTGGTTTGGGCCGCTTGGTCTCTGTGCGCCCGAGTGTCAAGTTTATTATCCTGGTGGGATCCGACACTCGGGTATTACTCTGTTGGAGTCTTTTCAGTTGTTATTGTTGTTTTGTTGGTTTAGTTGGTCGAGTTGTTGGTTATTGTAGTTGCGAGTTTCTTTCTAGTGTTGCTAGCGGGATTCTAGGCGGTCTTCTGACCTGTCCTCCCATTTTATTCTCCCGTTGGGAGCTTTGTATCTTGTTTCGCACATTTGTGCGCTTTTGATTTATAATAGTTCCTCTGTCGTTTTGGAAAAAAAAAAAAAAAATAGCAATATAATATTAAACTTAGATCCTTTAATTATTTTATATTTAACCAATTTAGTTAATTGTTATTACAATAATATATTTGTTGTTTTTAGCAATATAATATCCACCTACCCATTTACTAATGCAAGGATGAATAAAAAATTTGAATAGCAATTGGATTTAAATCGAATAGTTATATTTTTTTTTATTTATACACATCTTTTTTCTCATCCTATAAAACCGATTCTTAAGGGAAAATATTAAAAAAAAAAGGACACTTTAAAAATTCAAACAATAAGGCTGTATGAGGATTTTGTTTCTTTAAATTATCCAAAACCAAATATCGGTTCATTAGAATTAATGGGATAAGACCGCTTTTTGTGACCGTACAATGTAACAATAACAACTCATATATGGAATGAATTTAAATTAATTAATGCGGTGTGTGAAAAGGAATTAAAACCTGCCATTTATGGAAAAAAATCAATACAGACCGGGGTTTTACCATAAATTAACTTACTATTTTTAATAAATGTTAATTCTTATTATATATATATATAGATATATAGATTGGAAGAAAATAGATGTATATATCATTTCAGATATATTAAATCAATTCAGTTTCAAGTTCGGTTGAAGTCGTAGATCAGATGGATAAATATAGAGAAGTCGGTCAGAGGCTGGAAATGGTGTAATGCGTACTAGGGTTCTAATAAAAATAAGTTCTAATGTAATTAATCGTGAGTATCAAACATGATGCTTTTTTTTTGGCGCAATTCTAAAGCCGATATATATTTTTAAATTAAAATCATTAGCTATAAAATGATTCCTAATTGAGGTTAATAATTTGATAAACTATAGGCTAATAATTCACGTGAAGAAGTATAAATACAAGACAATTTTTTGATTGGCTCCGAAAATTGTAAAGGACAAAAGTAACTACAAGTTAACTTAATTTGTGATGTTTTGCCTCTAAACAAATATCACAACCGCATAATAATTTTTCACTTTCTTTATTACACTTTTCCTTTAATACTATAAATGTTTTAAGTGCTGAAAAGGAAGTATGTCCCAAAGTCTTGTTCCAATAAGTTTCTACAAACAAATTATATGAGATGTTCGTTTCATACATGTCCTTCAACACACACAAATTCCCAATATCCAATCATCCTTTCATTCTACATGCACCTGTGAGTAACAGTTAGAACCAATATAAATCAATTTCAAGTCCTTATTTTCACACAGCTGCATTACTGATAAAAAAAAATTTTATTTGAAAGTGGGCAAGAAAAGGACATCACTCAACACTATCTCTTCATTAACAACCACTTTTCCTTTTCTTTCAACCTTTCTTTGAATTTCATTCAGTAAAAAATGGTCAAGGGACTATCAAATTATTTTAATGTCTCATCATTCCACCATTTATGCAAATATGCCTGCTTGTCCCAGTGTCTATAGTCCGCTTATCTTTATACACATCCTTAACAGCAGATAAGGTAAAATGAATATTACAAGATTTCTCCATACCTGCAAAGATCACAAACTGACCATAATCCATTTAACTCTCTGATTTTTACTTCATTTTGATGTACTGAGTCAATTCTTGCAGTTGCTTGATCACTACTAATAGGTCTCGTCCACTCATCTTATCCTATATATTTTTTTTATTTTTTTTTTTGGCTTAATGGCGGGATAATACATGACTTTTACTTGATTGGTCATTTAATCACGACCTTTAAACCTTGAAAAATAAATACATGACCTTTACTTTTTTGGAAACCCGATACACACTTTTACAGCCGTCAACGGAAAGCTGACGTGGCAATTTTTTTAACGGCCACGTCATCGATAAATCTGACTCAGCACCCAGGGGCCAAATCATCATTTATTTCTTGGCAATTTAATACACCACTTTTGGTTTTTGGCAACCCGATACACGAACTTAATTTTTGTTGGCAAAAAGCTGGCACATCAGCATTGCTCAATTTAATTTTAATGCATATAATAATAATAATAATAATAATAATGATAATAACTCTATCAACTTTTAATTATAAAACTTATATATAATTTATTTTAAATATGTAATAATTACCAAATTAAAATATGTAAATTAAATAAATAGATAAATAATACTACATTATTTAATATATATATTTATATTATAAATATATTTATTTAATTAAGTATGTTAAATAATAATGAAAGTTAAATAAAAGAGTGCTTATGAGCCACTTGATCTAACACAACTTTTCATTAAATTTTAGAGTGAGATTAAATTTTTAAAAGTTGCACACAATTTTTCATTATAAAATGAAGTAGAAATTAATTTGAATCGCTTTTTTTCCTAAATAATTGCAACCAATTTTTTTTCAAAATATATTGAAAGTTATTAATCGCATGGTTTTCAACTGAATTTGTGTCAAAATATCTTGAAAATTCTTAATTACGTGGTTTAGAAAAATTCCTAGATTAGTATCAAATCATTTAATTTCGTATTCAAACTGTCTATTTATGTATTTTTTCAGTAACTGTCTATTTTTTGAAACTGTCTATTTATATATATTTCTTATTCTATATATTTTTTTAAAAAAAAACAACACCATTACATGGGATATCCAACTTGTTGATCTAACTTCCTAATCAACAAATTGCCAAACATCACTTTTATATTTGAAACCAAAAATCAAGCCACGGACTTTCCAAATTTAAATGCCAACATCGACTTGATTATATAATTAATTGGAAACCACAATATATATAATTTTCTGAAATGGTTTGACGATAGCTTCTATTCATGGTGAAATACACAAGTTTACAACCCCAATCAACTAAAAAAGAGAACAAAAACATCAAAAGAAAGAAGAAGAAAAAAACACAAAGGTTATACATAACTAATTGGATATTCATATCCTTATTTCATTCACTTTGTATTGTCTAATTTTCATAACTTAAGTCCCGTGTAGGACCAAATTCAGTTGTACATGTTGAAGGGGTTTAAACTTGGGGCCTAATTTTCAATGAAGGTACTTCAAGCCTACTCGTAGTCTGGGCTCGGAGCCGGAGCCCCTGCTTCGTAAGATGCCTCGTTCAACCCATTCATTCCTGGTGAGAGAGCCACAGCCCCGGAGCTCTTGAAGACTTCCATCATTCCACGACGCCCTCCCGATTGACCCGCTTCGCAAAATTTCATGAGGTAGACCCCTACATACATTTCAAAAATGTTATGGTCTTAAACCTAAAAAAACCCTAGCTATGCATTTTTTACAATAAAAATGGTGAATTGAAATTTAATTACATATTACCTTCACCGGCAGCGAGGTTGGAGTAGAGGTCGACGATGTTGGGGCATTTCTGAAAGCACTCGTCGGAGCAGAGGCTGGCGACAAACCTGCGGTCGAGGAGGGAGTCGGACGAGATGCCGAGGGCCCGACGGTCCACACCGCAGGCTCGAATACACTTGTCGGTCTCAACGTGGTTGTAGAACTTGTCGGCCACGATCTCGGACGTGTCACAGTTGTACTCCTCCAACCCTGACCGGAGGAGGCGGCTCTCGAGCACGCACCGCTTGCCAGTGGAGGACACCGAGAAGGCGCACGAATCCCGATCAAGGTCCTCGCATCGAATGTTATTGTCACGGCCGAAACTAATCAATCCACCTATAAAAAAAATGATATATTATATATGAAAACAGGTAAAAGTTTTACCAACAATGTTTATAAATACAGTAGGCTTTTTGTTAGGTCAACATACACCTTTTCACAAATATGAATACTTTTTCATTAATAAATGTCAGACTTTAAAAAAGCAGAAGTATGATAAAATATGACATTTGACAATATAAATATGCATTAGTGTTCATAAAGTATGACAGTTTGACCTATTTGATGGTTAAGCTGACTCACACAAATATTTGCGATATAAATATGATTGTAAAACTAGTTATGATGAAATGTGACTTGAGATTTGATTAACTTACCAAGAGTGCCTTGCATGGAGATGGCTAAGGCAAGTGCGAAGACCAAGATTGTTGACAGCGCCATTTGGTGTTAGGAGTAGCAAAACTTGACTTAAGCGTTTAGGGGGATTTGAAGAGTAAGACAAGTGGAATGAGATGCTAATGCTAAGACATGCTATTTATAGAGGGTGGTGTGGCTATTAGAATTTACAAAACCAAGTATTTAATTATTGTATTAAAAAAGCTATAAATGGTCCTTTTCCCATAGGCATATATTTAAGTTTTAAATTTGTAAAGATTGCCATCTAATAGCAAAGAGAAAAGACAAAAAGTGACAAAAAAATAACCTTTTATTAATTCTACGTGTAAATTCTTGATTTCTTTATTAGTTTCTTTCATGGGGGTTGTTAAGCTTTATAAATTTTTCATTTTTCTAATTTTAGAACCTTCTTATTTTTTTTCTATTAACTCTTGGATGTTATTAATAAATATGCCAAAGTGAGACTCAAACAAGAAAAATATATCCATTAAATAACAATATTATTACATGATTAGTGGGAAAGATAAATATTCAGTTTTTTTTTATCTTCTTTGAATTAAACATTGAGACTGTAATTATTTGTGGTTTGATTATTTAGTGGTCCATTTTTTGTTTTAATGGTGGATAATTTATTTAGAAATGAAAATTGGGCGTGGTGGTGATAGAATGACGATTAATGTTAACTAGTAGGGTGCTGTAATATGCTGATTAAAAAAATTATATGTATTCAAAGAATAAAAGAGAAGTTTTTGCTTTAAATTCGAAATAGTTTAATATATTTATTTTTTATATTTAAAATGACATACGTTAGACTTAATAATCATCCTATATTATAATAATTTTTTGGTAGATAAGTTATTTCATTGATAATTATTATTTTTTAATTAATATGATAGAATACTATTTATTGTACATATATATAACCGTATTCTTTTATTTATATTGCAATACGAATGTTAAATCAATACTCTCATCAAAAGATAATTTATTTGGTATATTTTATATAAAAAAATTGATAGCGGATACAAAAATTATTAACTTTTAAATATATTAATAAAACAAGTTATTTAAGTGTTGGAAAATTTCAAAAATCATGCTACACATGGATACAAACAAAATCAAATCTATCTGTGTGTATTAGAAAACACTGAAAAGTTACTCATAAATTCAAAAACTTTAATATTTATATGCAGAGGCACCATAAGTTTGACATATGAATTTGAAAAATGCTCTCTAATATAAATTCGAAAAGTCTATATTTATATATGGAGAGGAATGTAATCGGTCTTTTGAAGAACTAATTGTTTGTAGAATTTTTGTTTTATATGTTAAGACAAAAAGTGATACATTTTATTATTAGTAAGTTGTGAGACTTTATAACTCCATATTAAGCGAAGAGGCCGAATTAGCCATGTGATCTTACATTTAACTTTCAACTGGATAATAATTAAGTTTTTTTTTATCCTCCTCAAGAATCAAACTTCCACTCAATTAACTGTGCTATGAATCATAATTAGCTCTATAACGATTCCTAATTAATTGAGGTTATTTTTTCGCGTGATTTTAGACTAACCATTTGCTTGAAGAACCAAATGACTACAAAATCGTTGTTCTGATTGGTTGATAAACTGTAAATGACGAAAAAGTGTTGCTGCTTTGAGATTCTCTTATTTTGTACGAAAAATTCTCACGACTTTTGTTTTCAACCTATCACGCGCAGGGCCATCATTGTTTTCACGAAACTAATGTTGCGACTGGTGTAAAAACTTAGAAAATCAGGAAATTGAATAAAATGATCCAAATTGATACTACTTGATACTACCTCCTATTCTTTTTAAATGTTATTTTGACTTTATCAGTTATTAACTAAAATAAATGTCGTTTTGGATCTTTTGTACATATTTTTCCATTATTACCCTCATTTAGTTAATAAATACATTACGTCTTTTCATATTCTTTTCATCTTTTTTTTTTTAAAACATTGATCTCTATCTTCATTAATGATGGTTATTATTGACAAAAAAATTATTCTTAATTAGTGTGCAACTTCTCAAAACGACACTTATTATGAATAGGAGGGAGTACATGAAATTTTTGAACAAATGCACCGATTGCATTGTTTTGTTTCTCGGTTTATATCTATGTAGAAATTAAAACGTGATTGTTTTGGATTAATTGAAATAAAACTATGAAATAATGGTAGTTCTGATTTATAAAAATATAATTTAAATAAAAATGACTAAAGAGAAAAATAAAAATAATAATGAAATAAATGTGATATGTTTTGTTATCGTTTCAGTTATCAACCATTTTAAATATATTTTTTTTATAAATCGTGATTTCTTCTAAATTGTCAGCGACTAACCTTGATTGATAACATGCTCTGTCAATTGAATTTTTCAGTCAATAATATTTATTATTTATCATAAATAAACTATATGACAAAACATAACCAATGGTAACTCATAACAAGCCTTCTACTATATTTATTGTTCCTTAAAACCTCGATTATTTTTGTAGAAGTGGCAAATAAGAATCGAACTTACAGAGAACGGATAAAATATATGCGCTTACTAAAGTTGTTAATTAACTCAAAATAAAAGAAAGAACAAATATGAGGGAGATTGATTGATTCAGTTTATCAATTAAAAAAAATAATTAACTTAAGCTAAAACTAAGAATAAAATATGAGTTCAAATTATGAGAAATGTCCAATTGTCGTTCATCCGCCGTTCTCGATTCAATCTATGATTCAATGCAACATTTATCTCATCTCTCAACTCTCAAGTCCCTATTCCGAAGACAACTACAAGCTTTGTTATCCGCAATTGTTTCTTAAATTTATTAGTTAGACGCATTAAGAACCAAAACAATGAAATGCCCAAAGATGTTAGATTCACATGCTGGACCTAAGGGATATAGGTTTTGTGTTACCCAATCGATAAAAATCAATTTTGAATTGCAATAATTATGGATTACAACCCAAGTTCTAGCAATTGTCACATAAATCCTAATTTAGATGACCAGACTAAATTAAGATCTAATGCAACATTCATAAAAGACTCAATAACACAAAATAAATTCGATTTAATCAAGTCGAAAATATGCTAGGCGATTAAATCATAAATAATTTCAAGTATTATCTTGTTCATATGCGTATACTAAAATAAATAATGGTCAATCAACAGAGTATCTCCTAATCTTTTCTTCCTTCCTCTGCCCCTCTGTGAGCTCTCTCGCTCTCTCAAAATTAAAGTGAGTCACCCCTAATTCCCATCAGCAGCCGTCCTTGTTTTTTTCCTTTGTTAAAAAAATGATCTTTTGGGTCTTCCCTTTAATTCCTTGGACTCGTACACATAGTAGCAGCAGCCCAACTTGCTTGCGCTAAATAATAATGTTACTCATGGGCCGAACGTCTCTCTCATTGACGGTCATTTGGGCTATTGATCCGTTCGGCCTAATTCAACTTGCTTAGGATTAACATTCGCGTCTCCTGCATCGTCAACTCGAAAACACTTGAAAACCTCTGAAATAATTTTTTTTTAATTTTTTTTTTTTAAAAAAAGAAAGTAGAAAAACTAGACACCTTAGAGAAAATTTTGAGATGTTTTTAGATTTAAAATTTTTTGAGATATTATGAATTAGAAGAAATTTTGTAAAATCTTTTAAGTCTTGGATGTGATATTTTGAGTGGAATTTCATATATGGTTTTTATTTATTATTATTATTTTTTTTTTGAAATTCAGACAAATCATAAAATGTCTTAACAAATTATAGTCTCTATATCCCAAATTGTAAAAAGTCTTTAAAAATACCAAATGAATATACCCCAAATATGTAAAACCAACTTATATCAACTAAGAATGCCCGCAATTTTCTACTTATCAAACACTATTAATTCTTACAGAAATAGATTAGTTTAAGCAACAAATACATACACTGTTAGAGATGCACGACATATAGATTACTACTAACAAAACGACCACAACGACAAATACAGATTAAATGATCGACTCTAACAAATAAACTATGAATATTTAACGTAGTTGGTCTAACTAAACCAAACATTCATAATTTCAGCAAATCTCAAAACTTTTAATATTTTTAAACATCCAACTCAAATATCAAATTTTTTATTTATTTATTTTAAAAAATTTAAAAATCAAGAATGAATACACCCCTTTCCAACAAAACTCAATATTGGGCCTCCAACTCGTGTCAGGATTTCAAGAAAACCGTTCATATGCACGGTAGCCTGTTAATGAGTGTCCAAATTCTTCTATTTTAATTTTTAAAAGCAAGATCCAAGTCATTCAGTTTATCGGCCCATATTAACGTTAATCAGTCCAATTGAATATTAATTCTTCCAATAAGAACAAATTACCCCCTACACAAGCATCATTTCTTTAAAGGACAAAAACATAGTAGAGGTTTTTTTAATTCCACATTAACGGTAAGAGAAACAGTAATACGAAATTATCAATTTTCATATTCCACAAATATAATTAGTCACTTTCGTATGAACATTAATTGAATAAATATCTGTGTAAATTAAAAAGGCAAGAACGAGATTTGTAGGGATCTGATTCTCGATCGAGATCTTCCTTCATCAATGTCTCAATNAAAAAAAACAACAAAACAGACCCTAATATCCTCTCAAAATGGCAAAAATTGAAGAACAAGAGAGACCAAATATGAAGCCGAATCGAAGAAAAAACGATGGTTGCAAGATTCAATATAACGAAAGTCGCAAACTTGTGCAGAATAAAATACATTTGAGAAGACATTGAAGCTTAGTTCAACGAAGCAGAATCAGAGTGAAGGTATTATTATAAGTGAACGAGAGGCACTAAATCTTGTTGAAGAACACTCAGTGGTGAGACGACCAACTACACGCGCTAGTGCTCGAAAGGAGCGGTCATCCATTTCTCGCATGAAGGTTGGCGTTGATGTCAAGGGCAAGGGTAAGGTTGTTTATGGCAGCGACGGGCCGGAGGAGATCGACTCCGATTTCGAAATTGAACAATATATAATGTCGGACGAGGAAGAAGATGAGGGATTAGTAGAATTTGACTTTTTTTTTTGGGTTATGGAATTTCATAGATTGCTATCAGATCAATGATTTATTGAATTAGGTTTTAGATAATTTAATAATTTGAAAAAGTGGTTCTGAAATTATTTTTTGTTCCAATTTTTTTACTCCCTCTTATTTTTATTATTTGTCATCCTAGTTTAATTGATCATTTGTTAAATAAATATCGTTTTGGCTATTTTGTACATATTTTTCCATATTACCCTCATCTAAC